CGAGTCAGTCCTCAGTTGAACGTCGCTGATGTTTCAACGCGGCAGCTTAAATGGAGCGATGATGCAAATGGGTTAAGACCGAAACGATATTCTATTGCTTTTCGGTGCGATCTTGTTCTCTAGCGGAGGATCGTCTTTGTAGTCCAATTCGTTTCCTGTGCTCGGAGCAATTTTGTTCTGTATGGGTGGATCGTCGTAATACTTGATCGGCCTTCTGTCCTTCGTAGCGATTTTATTTTGCACGGTGATGTGCGCGCTGGTTGGCCGAGTACCGGAGAACGTACCAAACCCAGCGGTGACCCCGTGCCAGGAATAATTTGTGTCCTCCTCTATGGTTTCGTGAACTTCGTAGCCGCTTGTGCTTCCCTGTCCTCCGTCGATGCCTGTGAAATATTTTCCACAGATAACTTGTCGCTTCTTTCATCGTTGTACTGTTTGACTGTGCACAAAACCGGGTGCTCGCCTGAATAAATAGATAGCTAACTAGGAGATAAAAGTGCACTGTATAAAAACTAGTGGTCCTTTCAGAGAATAAAGAATTCTATTTAAATGTACAATGAAAAATAATAAAACCTTTTTATAACATTTTCTGCATGATGTTTTTAACTTTTTCTATATAGCTATCGTTAAGCTTTCAAAGGGAAACACAAAAAATTCTTTCGTTTTATTAATGAATAATGTAGGCACGATATTTTAATTCACATCATGCTATTGAATTATCTATGATCCATTCTGATCTCTTTTATCTTTTTCTGACTTTCCGGAAGACTCACAGCACCATTTTTCCAAAATTTCTAGGTGTTGCTAGTTTCGAATCTTTTATCACAAAGGGAGTGTTTTAATGAAAAGAATCAGACGGGGATGATGTATCTATCTCATCTTGCATACTCTCCAAATATTGCTATCTATGTTCATGTCCAACTTTAACTTTTTGTTTTTACAATGAAACATGAATACATTTCCACCATAAAAGATTTGGCTCAATAAACCGCAGGAGTTTTTGGGAAAATGGCATTACGAGGCTTCCGGAGAGACAGATAATTCAATAACATAAAATATCGCGTACACATTGTTCATAAATTAATGAAAAGAAGCTTTCGGGACAAGTTGATATTTTATAACTGATACAAATCGAATATTCAAAACACTAACAGGACCAAGAACGATCAAAAATGGCCCGAATTTTATGAAATTTTTCGATCGATAGATGAAAAGATTCTGTCGTTGTTCTGCCGCATTTTCATCAACTTCTTTCACTCGTTCAAACTCAGTCAAACAGTACAGATTCAGATTTGAAATCAGCAAGTGTATACCTTGACTTCCATGACCACCATGACCATTGTGACTACCATGACTACCATGTCCACCACCACCTCCACTGTAACCACCAAACGCACCTTGAATACTACCTAAAACGCCATGATTACTAACCAGAAGAGACAGAGTGTTTAAACCAAATGGATCTTTGTTGTTGTTCTTGATGTTTCTCTTTATCATTTGCTGTTTGAAACGTTGTTGCTGATGCTGCTCTCTCTGGAACCTCTGTCGTTCCCTCTGAGCCAGCATTCGGTCTCTCCTCTCTTGGCGCACTCGTTGCAATCCTTCGGCATTCTGGCGTCTTTGCCCGGACGTTGCTTTCACTAGATTCCCAACAGCCTCCAATGTCGAGACAGGGATCTACGAAGCGAAACGCGATAAATAATTAGTTGGTAACCACGTCGGGAGACAACAGTTTGTACATACATATCGGAAGTTCGTCCATTAATATTCGGACACTAAATGCTGAGTTTTATAAAATTATAATCAGTAATAAAATATTATAATAAATAAATTATATATTATATATTATTATAAATTAATTATAAATATTATAAAATTATAATTTTAAAAAGAAAGATTTATTTTAAAGCTTGAAAGAAGCTAAATATCGAAACTAATATTATAATTTTGTATAGTATAATATTATAATTTTAATATTATAATTTTGTAAAAAAGAAATTGTAGAATAATAAACTTCGGACCTCGAAATTGAAGAATTTCCTTCTCTGAAATTTCGTCACAATACGAAAATCATTGAACTGAATTTTCTTCACGAGTAAATGCACAATTTGAAGATTGAAGACCCCTCTCCTACAACGATCCTTTAGAATTAGAACTTGCTATACGATCTTTTTCTTTCGTGTAATAGGAGTTCAGATTCAGATGAGTAGATCCAACGAACATTTAATCAAACACTGACTAATTATAATACAAATAAGTTGGATTATACTCTTCTTCTGCTTGACGAACAAGGAAGATAATAATAGTTAATAAGTTACACAGAATTTCAATAGTTTTATATCTCACATTATTCCTTTTATTTGTCATCAAAACTTGCTTCATGCGCCACGGTTGGTCACTCGTGATAAAGATTATTATCTTCGATTAATTTCATGCCCGAAACTTTTATACGGTGCGAACGTTCTCGAAATGTTCACGTCGAGTGTTCGAGGAGAATCGTATCCACGCGTCTTGTCTTACACAAGAGTTACGTAAATAAAAATTTCGTTACCTTTAAGATGCTGTCGATAGCCTCAGAGTTTCCTGGATTGAAAGTCTGCGCCGCAGCTGCAGTTTCCTTGAGCGCCGTGATTGGAATCTAGTCGGATTCTGTTCGAGTTAGCTTTTGCTCGATCGTCGAGAAAACTGGACGGAAATGAAATACCTACGTTGAAGATGCTGTCTATCACGCGGCCATCCCCGCTCGCGTTGTCCTGCCGTTTTGTTCGTTCAAGTGTCACCTGAAACGAAATGTACATTGTCAGTAAAATCTGTTCGAAAGCAATTTCCGATCGTGAATTGTACAACAATAATAGAAGAAATTTAACAATTCGGGAGTCAAAAAAAAAAAAATTGTTTAATCTGAATTTAATGGCGGAATGTTGTTGGAAAAAATTACAGAATATCCTTTTATAAATACTACTGGAATGTTATCGAAAGTCGCCAATATTGAAAAAGCTAGTAAATTTTAACAATTTTAAATCATTGAAATATTTCATATTTTGTTCAAATACACGGTAGAGCTGTAAAAGAAAAATCTCACGTGTCCATATTTGTTTGATTCTCGAATTTTTCTAGTATTATATTTCTAGTAATTTCTAGTAATTTTTCTTATATCACTTATATATTTTTAATATTTCTAGTAATTTTTCTTATATCACTTATATATTTTTATAGTTACTTTTGCACGTGGTGAACTATTTGCGGAATCCAATCCATAAAAGGCTCTACACGCATTTTTATTTAAGCTAAAAGATACGTAACTGACTGTAATAAATAATAATAAATGGTTTTTAGCCCACCTTGATATAGGAAGTGCCAACTATGGGTTTTTTAATTCAACAAGCACGATCTTTTTATTATACTCATTGTCACAGTATGTTTTGATACAAGGATAAAGTTGTTCCACGTAAGGAAAAACATGATCGTAAAGTGTGAAGTAAAATGCGGGTAGACTCATTGGCACATTTGAACGGTTATTACATCTATACTTCTCGGCAGCTTTCTCTTCTCTACATATAGAGCGTCGAACGATCAAAGTGAACCCTTTTTCGAACAAACGTTCTACTGTTTATTTCTAATTGCTCTTCTATCGGACAAACTGAAACTCGAAAATGGTGTTCTTTCTTTCGCATCCAAATACTCAACGGTTTTGGACTTCAGGCGTAAGTATTTGTCTATAGTTGAGTTCGAATCTCGTCTACGAGTGAAAATTCAAAGATGACGAACGAACATGCGATTCGAACAAAGACTCGACAAGAGAATTTTAATTTTAATTTAATATCTAAATTTATTATACCCAGACATTTAATCCTTCCTTTTGTACAGAAAATATGAAAATAGGAAAAGTAACAAGAAGAAGGAAGAAAGAGAAAGAATTGAACAAGATGAGTATTAACATTCCAACGATAGATACAACAAGGTGAATGAGACTTTGCGAAATTACTCAAAGGTCATTCAAAAAAGTGAAAAGCGAAGAGAGACTTTGTCAAAGGAATTAATACTTTTTTCTAAAAATATTTAACAAAGACAACAGTCTGCAATCCGGCATCAAAATGCCTTTTATAGCGAACTTACTGCATCCTGAGAAGCCACCACGTAAACGATAGCGTTGACGACGACGTAGATTGTCCCGAGCATTCTTCCAACACTTTGACACACCTCGACTGTCTCCAGGGAGTCTTCAAAGTAAAACGACAAACTGCAGGGCAGGTCGACGATCCTCCGATCTATAAGGATGATTGCAGAAGCCCACGCGAACCGCCGACCAATCACGATCCAATATCCACGGATCCAACACCTTTTGACCGGTGATCCTTTCTATTTTCACGTAATCTACGCAGGATTTCACGCCCCTCCTCTCTGCCCTCTTTCACCGTGCAACAGCGTAAGCGGAATTAATCGCAATGAAAGTAAGCGGTGAGTCCATGTATGAACATGACATCGAGTGCAAAACGCTTAACAATACTAGGAACTTCGCTGGTCAAAGAGAATCTGAGAATCACAATTAAGTTAACACGCTCGATTGGAGTTAAAGTACAGTTAGACAGATCGATTATCGATGATTCTGAAGAATAAGTCTTCTTCGCTGCACAAGCTTTTCTCTATCTAAATTATCAATCACTGATATCGAGTAAGACAGAATATTGATTAGTCAAGTCGCCTCTTATGAATTGCGTTCTATAATTTAATTGTTAGTTCAATCGATCGACTGTTTGAAACAAACAAATTAATGAATTAAATAGGTTAAAATTCGTTGGTTGGTCAAACAAGAATTACAATTGAACACACTAACGACCACTGTTGTGCATTATTATGCATTATTATGCTTCCTTGGAGTTTAAGTATAATTAGAGAGGTCTGGGGAAAGTAGACCCAAAAGCTTCGCCACTAAACAAATAATTTAAAATTATTTCTCGATTAATATTAAACATCGGAGTACGACACGTGGAAAGGAAACAGAATATCAGATCAATCAGATTATCTCTTATTGTCAGGAAATCTTATAACCAAGACAACGAAGGATAATTTAATTTTC